AATGGATAATTTAAAGGGAAAAAAGTGAAATGTACAATTATAGACAAAAGTTAGAGAGAGAAAGTGGAAAAAATACAATGCAAGTGGATAATTTAAGGGTAAATAAAGAAGTTCAGTGAATAAAGTTAAAAAAAAAAATGAGGGTATAATGTTCTTTACATACTATTCAAAATTAGAAACAAGAACAACATTTTGGGTATTCAAAATAGGAAAACAGGAACTATAATATGGGACAGAGGGAGTATATATAAATTAAATTTTAATAGATAAATTCAAATCCGAATTACAACGGATAACATATATATATATGTATGTGTGTGTGTATAAATTCGGGTAAGAAAAAATAAAGCATTCGGATTTTCATATACTTTGGAGAAGAAATTAAACTTAGGGTAACGGGGTTTATTATTTTAGTCTTTGATGGATTTGTTCAGATATTAGGAGTTTAGAGAAGTAGTTGAAACAAAAGGAAAAAAAAATATATATATTAAAAATGCTAAAAATTATTAGGAGCTCAGAGAATTAGTTGAAGGAAAAGGGACAAAAACATTAGTAGTGTACTTGGAATGGAACCCCTTCCTTAGTAAGCTAAGAGGCACACAAAGGTAAACATTAAAACACCACTAGGCCACACTGCATTTCCTACATTAGTTATGCAGACAAAATTATATACGAAGTATATCTTTTCTTTTTCGGTTTTTTTTTAAAAATATATATATATATATTTTTACCAAAAATTTAGTAGGTTCAATGAACCTACCCTAAATATGCCCCTGCCTGTTACATACTAGAGTTCTATAAATCGATGTAATTGTAATGTGTGTAAATTTTTTCAAATAAATTTATTTTGCTGCCATTGTCTTGTATTCATTGTATATTCTTCTATTTACGATAGCAATGGAAATTTAGAAAATTCAATGGTAATCAAGTAAAAAATTACTCTTTTTATTAATTTTTTGGGTAAGAAAGAAATGGCAGTTTAGAGACGATGAATTGCTCCTATATGGCTATATATCATCAATCAATAACATAATACTAAAACAGACATCAGAAATGACATGACACGTGTCATTTCCTAGTGTTGTTTTTTTTCCCTCCAAAACTTCTTTTCCCCCTTTAGCAAAAAATCTTTTATTTTTGGAATATTTGTATATTACAACTATAATATTCAATATTATTCCAAATCTTAAATATTATCTTTATATAAAATATATTCCTTTATTTTTATTTCGTGTTCTCAATTCTTCCATACACATTTACCTAAAATATTATTCCAACTCTTTTTTAATTATAGAAAAAGTGAGTCACTGGCTAAGGCACAAGCTATCATTACCGCGTGGACATCTTTTAAACGGAGTATTATTGAAATTTGACAAAAAAGTAATAATGATATTGATTCATATAATTCATATTAAAGAAATTACTTTAAAATATCACTTTATTTTTTTTCAAATACCTTTAATTTTTGTTTCTTAGACTAATGGAGTATTAGATATGACTATAAAATAAATGTTGTGTTCGACAATTATATCATATATCTAATTCTAGGAAAATGTAAAATATCGATCAATTTTTTGTTATTATGTAATTCTAAAACATAATATCTTAGTAAAATACAATATAAATTATTATCTTTTGCTGAAACATTTGATTGAGATGATAAATTTATTACATTTAACATTCCTAATTAAGCTGCATAATAAAAGACACGTCGGACATAGTGACAAGTGACATCTAATTGTGTATCTTTTAATTTTTTTGGATAAATAGTTAACATTTACAAATAAACTTTTAAATCAATAAAGAAAGAATGATCAAATTGCAATCATTGGATACCTTCGAAAAAAACAAAAAACACACACACACATATAATAACAAAGAGTGATAGACGATATCATGTAAAGCATCAACCTATAAATAGAAAATGTGCTACTAATATTATAGTTTAGTTCTGCCTAATGATGGATTATTATTTTCTTTAATGATCCAAGTAGTATTTATTTCCATTGAAATTATTTTATTAAATATAAAGGTGATATATTATTTGTAAATTATATATTTACATGTATGTTCCGCTAATAGTTTTACTATAGATTTTAGTTTGTTGTTTGATTAATATTTTGATGTTTATTAAAAGGCATTTATAAATAATTTTTTAGTCATGTAATCACTAGGTTGTATAGATCATTGGGAATAATATGCATCATTAATGTAATAAACTACTTTTAAATAATTTCAATACAACTAATCAACAATAATTTTTTTTTTTCCCCCTCGATTGTAGTTTTAATAATTTTTGCCTTATTATTTTATTTTTCTATGTGCATTGCAATTGTCTATCCCACATGAGTTACTTCAATTTTTTATATTATATCACAATTACTTAAGGGAAAATTATTATTACTACCGTGCATCGCTCAGGTACATACAATGATAAAGGAATAGGGATCATTAATATTTTTTGAAGAAGTTTTATTCTATAATAAAGCGTCCGTATTGCTCTTAATTACACTAAATGCTATTAAAATTGTTAAAGAAAATAATAAGCAACCTTAAAGACGAGTTACATACAATGATATAAGGAATAAGGATCATTAATATATTTTTTTTTTGTTCACATCGTTTCCCTTGCTTACCAACCCTTGAACCCTTAAATGTACCAAAATCAATCAATTAGGTGAACCTAGCAATTAGGATATTTGTGTGGCATTGCTCATTTGCTCCGCCATTTTTCCAACAAATACGGAGTATCATTTAAACTGATCATTTTTTAGAACAACTATCATTTATATATTTTTATTTTAAAAAAAACTACTACAAAAACACATAAAAAAATTGAGTAGCATTATCACATTTAGTTTTTCAACAAAAATCTCCGGTTAAGGGGCCCACTTTATAAGATTTCTCACCAAAAAAAGCCAGGTAAAACGACAACGTTGCCCCCACATTAACCCTAAATTAGGTAATACAATTCAATTACCCCAAATCCCCCAATTTCGTAAACCTAATTTTTTGACAATGAACCCTAATTTTAATTGAGAAATGAGAGTGAGAATAGCTCAAGTTGTTAGAGCTTCTTTCCCAAATCTAGGGGATTATGAGATCGATTTTCAACATTCGCCCTTGTGGGCGTTGTAGCTCTCCAAACACGCAAAAAAAAAAAAAAGCGAAATTGAAGACAATTGTGTTCGGCCACAATGTTTTTGTGGTAGTTCTTGTGATCATTTAAATGATAATTGTTGGCAAAATTTCTAAAAACGATACGCATTGAATAACAATTTAATAGTGCCCCACCAATTTAGTAATCTTATTAGATCATTCGTTTCTTACAGCCATAAATTATGAAGCAAAAATCACTACTATAAATGTGCCCTAATCCAAACGCCAATTTTGCTTCATACGTCCGTCAATAACAATACGAAATCAAAGGCATAGCAAGATCTTTCATTTTGAAGATCCTGCTTCCTAGGCTACCCTCAGGCCTCAGTAACTCACCTTTGGTTAGGTAAAAAAGGCGAATTAAGGAAGTGGAGAAGGAGCTTGCTTGTTAGCAAAAGAGGGTTGTACAAGATAGAATGACGATTAAATATATAGGCTAGATGAATAATATACGTACCCCGTAGTATTTATATTGGCATGCTAGAGCTCTGTGTCACGACTCATGTCCCACACGCCACTAGCGTCATGTGGTCGACTTGGCACTAAGTAACATTTGTGACTAGGGAAATGCCAGTGGAGTCCTTCACCCTATAAAGCTATATTCTGTATTTATTGAACACTGCAATAACATAATAATGGGTTGTTTGCCTATTTGGGCCCGAACGAAGTCCAAATGAGCCCAAGCTTGGGGATCCACCATTTTCGGGTCAATGAACATCATGATGACGTCGAGTTTCCAATACGGGGCTCGAAAACATCCAGATTGTACAGATCAAGAAACGTAACGTTCGAAGGTTCTACAGCTTTCTAGGAAACTCTTGTACATAGCCTAAGCCCTAATGCTAGATTGTGTAGAATTTTCCGAAATATTGTATATATATGAGTCTTGTACATAGAATTGTATAGAAGTTTCTAAAAAGGTTAGCTTCATTTGAGAAGGTTAAGAATTCTCTAGAATACTTGTACTTGAGAGGCCTGTAAATAGAGAGTCTCCCCTCATTTGCAAACCATCCAAGCATTTTGTAAACACACTCTCTCAAATAATATAAAATTATCTTATTAACCTTAAACACTAGTGTGAAGTTAGTGGACACGCGTGCAAAAAAACTAGGGTAATTAGTCAGCATGTGACATTTGGCTAACATTTTCAAAGGTGATGACAAAAATATGCACCCATGGAAAATGAGATATATTGGGCTCTAAACTAAATGCGCTAATAAGAGGTACATACCCGTGTACCGTGTTGTATGTACCTTTACATAGCAATATAGCTGATAATTTCTATAAATAATATGGAATTTTTATAAGAAAGATACCATCAAGTGAATAAATAGTACAATTAGATAGTATAATGATATTATAATACCTTCTTTTTATGTACTACATAAATTTGGATGTACTAATCTAGAATCTAATAGTACGGTACTATTATTAAAACTCCAATGGTACTATTTACTCTGTATGTTTCTAATGGTACACAAAATGAGTATATATGAAGTCATATATAGTAGTATTCATTGTTAAATGATAAAATGGTAAGATTGAGCATTTCTACTCTGAATCCGGTTTCTCGGGTATGAATTTGAGTTTTTCCTGAGTTTTTTGATCAAAATTCTGCGGTTTAATCTAGAGAGTTTGATAATATTATCTCCAGTTTTACTGTTATATCCATATTTTTTTGTCAGATTATTGTTCTTTGATTGATAATTGTTTTGATTCATGATTCAATATGCCTGAGAATTCGATTTTTCAACCTACACAAGATCCTACTAGTCCTTATTTCATACATCCTTCAGAAAACACTAGCCAATCTCTAATTTCAGAAACAATGGAAGCGCAGTATGATGATTGCTTTTTCTGCTAAGATTAAGCTTGGTTTTATTGATGGAAATATTCCTAAACCAGCTTCTACAGATGTTTTCTCAGCTTGGAAGAGATGTGATGCTATAATCATATCTTATATTCTGAGATCACATGATAATTCGATTGCAAGAAGTGTGTTATATCTGACAACTTCAAGAGAAATCTGGAAAGATTTGGAGGAAAGATATTCTCAAACCTCTAGACTACAACTATTCACACTGCAGCAAAAGCTTTTAGAGCTTAATCAATTAAGGTCCGGACACTTCAATTGCTGAGTTCTTTACTCAAATCAAGGCTATATTGGATCAGATTAGTGAAATGAATCCCTTACCTACTTGTTCCTGCAACAATTGCACATGCTCTTTGACTCAACATTTCTCAAGCAACAACAGGAAAAGAGACTTGTTCAATTGTTGATGAAACTGAACAACGTAACAAGTTCTCAAATACCATATCAAACATCTTGATGATGCAGCCATTGCCGCCTATTTCACTAGCTTACATATTGTTAATTCAAGAAGAAAAGCAAAGAGAGATGAGTAGTTTATCTGATGAGAACATCAATTCAATGGCATTTGCTGCAGATTACAAAAGGAATCAATCTAATTTTAGACCACAATTTCATAATTCAGGAGTTGCTCACAATTTATTGTGGATAACAACAAAAAGCCAAGTCCATTCTTTAGTGAATATTGGAAGTTTCCTGGTCATACAGTGGATAAGTGTTACAAAATCCATGGCTATTCACCTAGTCATGGAAACAAGTTCAAAGGCAAGAAGGTGGCTGCAATTGTGCAAGATGATGATGATGATGCACAAGATTCAGATGTTGGTGATACTCAAACTACTCATATCATTTCATGAAGTATATGCAAATTTAGGATACTATTGCTAGCTCAGGAGGTTCACTTGCACAGTCTGAGTCTATTGCAGGAGCTTATGTTGCAGGTACTTGCCTTATAATTTGTTCTAATTCTAGCTGGATAATTAACAGTGGAGCTACTGATCATATATGCTCTAACATTGATTTATTTAGTGAGATTAGAGTTTTTGACAAGTTTCCTAATACTATTACTATTACTAATGGGAAAAAGGTGGTAGTAAATCACATTGGTACTGTTAAGTTTGACAATGGTATTCAGCTGGAAAATGTGCTTCATGTTCCTGGATTCAAATTTAATTTGGTTTCTACACATAAATTGTGTAAGGATTTGAATTGTGAAGTCACATTTACTCATGATAAGTGCTTAATTCAGGATACAACTTCGAATCAGTCCTTGGTTCTTGGTAGTTTGAGTTCTGGCTTGTATGTAGGGGAATTCTGTTGCTCCAAACACTTCTTTGTTATCTAGCTCAGAAGAAGCCAAGTTATGGCATCTTAGGCTAGGTCACATTCCTTTAATAAATTGCATTTGGTGAATATCAATTTTAGTTGTACAGTTGGCAATGATATTGTATGTCAGGTCTGTCATAAGGCAAAACAGACTAGGTTGCCTTTTCATTCTAGTTCTTCTATAGCAAATAAGATTTTTGAGTTGTTGCATGTAGATACATGCGGTCCATATAGGGTTTAGCTACTTTCTTACTGTTGTTGAAGATTTTTCAAGACATACTTGGACTTTCTTAATGAAGAATAAAAGTGATGTTGTTTTTGTTTTGAATAATCTTGTTACTTTGACTGAAACTCAGTTCAATACTAAAGTTTTGAGCTTTAGAGCTGATAATGCAAAGGAACTTTGTGAAGGTGAAATATTACATTTGTTCCATGGTAAAGGGATAGTGCATCAAAGGGTTGAAAGAAAGCACATACACCTTTTGGAAACTGCAAGAGGTTTGTATTTACAGTCAAGGGTGCTAGTGAGATTTTGGGGAAAGTGTTTTTTGTGTGCCACTCGCATCATAAACAGAATGCCATTGAGTAGTGTGGGATTCAGTTCACCTTATGAAAAACTGAATGGTTCAAAGCCACACTTAGAACATTTAAGAGTGGTTGGATGTTTGTGTTACATATATATATATATATATATATATATATATATATATATATATATATATATATATATATATATATATATATATATATATATATATATATATATATATATATATATATATCCACTCTTAAGGGTTACAGATCTAAGTTTGATACCAGGGCTTCACCTTGCATTTTACTTAGTTATCCACCATACAGAGTTTTGAACCTTGAGAACAACAAAATCATTATCTCTAGAGATATAATGTTCTATGAAAAACATCTACCATTTCACTATGATCCAACCTTATCCAAATCAAAAACACCTATTTTCTTACCCATAGACATACCAATTGACCTGGACACATACTTTGAAGTACCTGAACCCTTCTCTTTTCTAACAGATACTTCTATACCAAATGAACCTACTCCTGAACCTTCTCCTACCCAAAGCCCACATTCTGAACCACAAACACTAACTAGTTATGTCCCTATTAGACAGTCAACAAGACCAAGGAAATGGCCTTCTCATTTTGGTAATTTTGTCTACATAGCTGACAATGTGACAGAACACTGGTGCAACTTGGTTCGGTTTGAGTTCATTCCTTCTGAAGCAAAAGCATTAATCAATACAATTACTCAGGTTAGTGAACCAGTGAGTTACTTTGAAGCTTCTCGGCATCCTAGTTGGGTTAAGGCCATGCAGAAGGAAATTGATGCTTTGACAGCAAATGAAACCTGGGAATTGGTTCCTTTACCTAAAGGAAAGAAGCCCATTGGCTGTAAATGGATTTTCAAGGTAAAGTTAAAAGCAGATGGAGCAATTAAAAGGCTGAAAACAAGGTTGGTTGCCAAAGGTTTTACTCAGAAATATGGCATAGATTAATTGGAGACTTTTTCACCAATTGTTAAAATGGCAACAATAAGGTGTATTCTCTCTATTGCTGCAAGTAATCACTGGAAACTCCATCAACTTGACATAAACAATGCCTTTCTACATAAAGAATTGGCAGAAGAGATGTATATGAAGGTTCTTGAAGGGATGAAGAATACAGATAATCTTGTCTGTAAAATGAAGAGATCCTTGTATGGTCTGAAACAGGCTTCCAGGCAGTGGTTTGCTAAGTTGACTGCAGAATTGATACACATGGTTTACTGCAAGTCAAAGAAAGATTATTCTCTATTTACAAAAAGGACAGATGTATTCTTTACAATAGCAGTTGTTTATGTGGATGACATAATGGTGACAGGATCTGATGAGAAAGAAATTGATTTCTTTAAAAGTTATTTGCACTCTAAATTCAGAATTAAGGATTTAGGGCTATTAAATTACTTTCTAGGGATTGAAATCAGTCATTTATCTTCTGGCATTCTTATGACTAAGAAAAAATTCACCAAAGAGTTACTACAAGACTGTTAAATGGATGTTTCTAAGGATGCACAAACTCCCCTTCCTACATATCTAAAGTTGCAAGCTGATGTTGGTTAATATTATTTCGATCCAAAATTATACAAAAGTCTAGTTGGGAAATTGAATTTTCTGTCACACACAAAGCCTGACATTGCCTATTCAGTCCAAACTCTCAGTCAGTTTTTGAATCAGCCTAGAAATCCTCATGTCACAGCTTTGCAGCATGTCTTAAGATACATTGCTCATACTCATGTACAGGGTATTCTACTCAGAGCAATTGATACTTTGACTCTTCGGGCTTTTTCAGACTCATATTGGTTGCTTGCCCTACCACCAGAAGATCTATAATTGGCTATGTACTCTTACTGGGAAATTCTCCTATTTCTTGGAAATCTAAGAAGCAGTCAACTATTTCTAAAAGTTCTAGTGATGCTGAATATAGGACGATGGCAGCAACTGCTTCTAAAACCACTTGGTTAGTCAGGTTGCTACAAGTGTTGGGTGTAAGAATTTGAAGCCTGTGACTCTTAGATGTGATAACCAGAGCGTCATTCATATAGGGAGGAATCATGTCTTTTATGAAAAGACCAAGCATATTGAGCTTGATTGTCATTTCACCAGGGAAAAAGTAATGGAAGGGTTGATTGAGCTTTCCTATATATCTACTACTGATCAATTGGTTGACATAATGACTAAAGCCTTGCCTGTAAGCCAGCATTCTGAGCTTAAGTCCAAGCTAGTGATACCTGATCCTTCTATGCATCCTAGCTTGAGGGGGGATGTTGCTGATATCAATACACATGCCACGTAGGAAGATTTTGTTACAGCTAGTATAAATACTCTCAATGTACACATCTCTTTATTCATTCAATAATGAAAAACTATCTTCCTTTCTGGTCACTTTCTCTCACAATAAAAATGGAGTATAAAAACTATAAATGTAAAATATATGTTGTATACAACTTTTCGAAGAGGTACATTTTTATTTCTTTTTGAATAGTAAAATTAATTTATTAATTAAAAGTCATACGACATCTATAAAGACAACTGAATTTAACAAATACATAATTTGAATCAAATAAAAATTTCCTTCCTTAAAACAAGGATCGTCGAGCAGATCTTGCTATGTGGAACATTTCCCGCTTATATCGCTGGAAAATATAGCCTTGATGGAGAGATAATAATCTAATAATCCCTTGTAGTCGTGAGGAAGATTTCCATCGGATTCATCTGATCGTATTTGAAAAATTGATAACCTTTGCGACCCCTCATAATTTTTCACCAACGAAACAATTTCACGGCAATCCATTAGATCTATTATCCCGGATTTAAAGCTAAAGAAATTCCCCCTCGAAAAGAGGAGAAAAACCTTGTCTTTTGAAGAAAATCGAAAAGCCTAGTCTTTCGAAGGAGATCGAAAAAATCTTGTCTTTCAAAGGAGATTAAAAACCTTTTCTTTTGAGGGGAAAAATATTATAAACCTAAAATAACAAACAAAAAAGACTAAAAAAACAAAGTTGGGGCTTTCTACCGGTAAAAACCGATGAAAGCCCCTTCAAAATTAACAATGGAGACTAGGGTTTTTTTTTTAGAGAGAATAGAGAAGAGAGGAAAGAGTAGTAGTAATTCGAAAACTGTGTTTTTTTGAAGAAGTACATAGTACATTAGTAAAATAGCCATGGGTTCGAATTTTAGTTTCCCTCTTTTTTTTTTATTTTGATTTCACTATTTTGTAATACCCTAATTCAGATCAAAATAGTCTTGATTATTTACACTCCATAGTACATTAGTAAAATTTAAATACAACTAGAAAATAACACCCAAAAATTGTCACGATTTTGATATAACACTACAAAAAAAAAAAAAAAAACTTTGATTATAACACTACAAAAAAAACCCAAAAAGTTGGTTTCACCACCACTTAACTTTTCCATCCAAAAAAACCGTTAGTGGGCCCCACATTGTACACGTGTCAATCATTTATTGGATAAAAAACACGTGTCACTATACTATTGGTTTAAAAAAATTAAAAAAATATATAAAAAAAATAAAGACAAAAAAAACCCTAAACAACCTAACCCAGCCCACCCCACCACCGGCACCACCTGACCCCCACCGCCAACTGCCTAACCCAAGCCGCCGGCACTCCTGCCCCACCAAAACCGGCGAAACCCTCCCTTCCCCCTCCCCAAAAACCACCCTAACCATGCCTTATCACCGCAAATCACAACCACAGCAAATTAAAAACACTCGGCGGTCAGGGGCTGGGTCTGGGTGGGTCGGCGACGGATTAAGGTCGGGGAGACATCGATGGGGGCTAGGTTGGGGTGACGACCGTGGTAGGGCGTGTTTTAGGGTGGGAGAAATGGAGAGGAGGCGCTTTAGGGGTGGTTTGTGGCTGTAAGGAGGTAGGTGAGGTGGGTTTTAGGTGGCTGTGGGGTGGGTTTCGGGGGCTCTGGGGTGGATCTCGAGGGCCGCTGGGTGGTTTCGGGACTGCAGGTTGAGTATCGGTGGGATTGGGGGTGGGGAGGGGGGCTGGTGGTTTCTGGTTTGGGGGAGGTCGTCCAGTGGGGAAGGGAGTGGGGGAGGGGCTGGCAGGGGGTTTTCTTTTTTATTTTAATTTTTTTTTTCTTTTTTTTTAATCCAATAGTTGATTGACACGTGTGTTGTGTGGAGCCCACTTAACGGTTTTTTTGAATGACAAAGTTAAGTGGTGGTGAAACCAATTTTTTGGTTTTTTTTGTGGAATTATAATAAAAGTTTTTTTGTTGTGGTGTTATAATCAAAATTTGGTTTTTTTGAGGTTATGTTCTAAAATTCCTAAAATTTATAAAAAGTTGTCTATACTTGTCTTGTGATGATTCGGGCCATGAGTTCGAATTTCAGTTTCCCTCCTTTTTTTTTTAATTTTGATTTCACTATTTTGTAATACCCTAATTCACATCAAAATAGTCTTGTTATTTACACTCACATTTAGAGCATGGAAGGAAATCGGTCGACACTGAACAGAGTGTCAGAGAGACGAAAGGAGCCTGAGAAAGTGGCTACCGAACAAAAAGAGTGCAGAAGCAAGAGCAGGCTATAGCTTAAATTAGATCGTGCACAACTGCACACACATTGAAGACAAACTCAACAGTTCATAAACGGCATAACAATATCTTCATATTATCAATAGAAAACCAAATAGGATTCAGGCGAATCTGAATCATCTCTTACTGTCATTCCCTTCAAAAACTGCTCGGGTGTAACAGGAACCCTGATGGAAGACTGGTAATAATATATATACAAAACAGTAACAGCAAAACTGAGGGTAATTCCTACAAATTCAAATGAATAGAAATAATATCCAATTGAAAGAAAGTAAAAACTACCATGTGGTTATATACATCAGGCAGGGATGCCGCTGCAGGATCTCTTATTCAAAAACTTTCATTTACCAAAACTTTGTCTGCTTTAGATTTGGCAGGTCCCCATACACGAACGGTGTGATCATCACTTGCCGAAGCCAACATATGAGGATTTCTAGGGTTCCAGCTTACACTGTTTACAGTCATTGAATGCCCAGATAAAATTGCAATTGGTTCAGACTTCTGGCGATTCCATATGTAGACCTGTAAATCAGAAAATAAAACTAAGATTCCACGTCTGGTTCTTCTTTCACAGAAAGGAAAATTAGGATTTAGACCATTCTAAATGGCAAGTAGATCACAAACTCAGTTGAGCACACAGACAAAGTAAAAGGAGGAAAAGTCTGGATGTGCTGTTCAGCTACTGATATATGATGTATGGAAGTTCTCATGAAGGACACGTTTCCGGTTTCAGTAACTTGGAAACTCAGAAGGAAACCCCCTTTAAAAAGGTCAGCAAGTTCAACCCTCTAGTATAGTTATATTTATACACATAAGCCTTTTCTTTCTAAAATATCTTTAGAACCAAACCATAACTTTATTTCCCTCAGTACTTGCATTTTCACATTACTTGCTGGAGTCTTCAAATTTATTACCTGACAGCCAATTACCGAGGTTACCATGTCATTCTTGGTCCTAATCACAAACTATTGACAAATAGAGTAACACTAGGTTAAATCTATATAATGTCCTTTATCCACTAATATAACTCGAACAATTACTAATCTTGGGTAGTACAAGGGATCAATTTTCCTAATCAATTGCTAAATACTAGAAAATCCATTCATGAAAAGCAAAACATAAAGGGGTAATATCACCTACTTCAAAGATAGGGTAAGGAAGACGGAAAAAGCTTAAGGGCCAGGAAAGAATGCAATACCTCTGAATTCTCACTACCACTGGCAATAAATGAACTGTTGAAACCACCAAAACAGGACCTTATCACATACTGGTTTTGCTTGTGTCCTGTGTACTTCAATGGTTTCCTCCATTTTCCTTCTACATCCCATAAATGGATCTCTTGACTATTAAGGTTAACAATGAAAAACTTGCCATCTGCTGAAACTG